TGCATGACATGGGCCCCTGTAATGTCATAAGCCCTTTACCACACCATGAAAGAGAGAGGGGGATTATTGAAAAAATACCTGCTCATGAATCTTATTTTACATTCTATAGAAATGCGAACAAGTAGCAAAAATAAAAGTTAATGTTCTGTAACGTTTAGTTTTACAACAATGCAACATTCCAAATGTATTTATTTATTTATTAAAAGTTATTCAGAACACAAATGCTGAACATTAATGGCAAGTAAGAAGCATAATAACCAACAGGATTAAAAGAGCAGATTTACAGTGTAGACTTACATGCAGACTTATATATAGATCCAGCGGCAGAATTATCAGTAAAAAATGGCCTCAGATCTATTTAGGGCGGTAGGTACATCATATTGATCAATACTTTATAATCTATGAGAGATATTTTCACAAACTACAGCATAAAAGGGTGCATTTATTGGGTCTCTAGCAATAGAAGGAGAAAACACTTGTATTAAATATTACAATTGTTCAGTTTTTCCAAAGACTATCTCGTTGTATTAGTTTGAATAGTTGACTCTTGTTTTCTGATTGGGCTGAATGATTAAATGCTGCAATCTGATTAGCTAGTTGAATCTTGCAGGATGATCGGCTAACTGAGTTGAATTTTGAAGTCTGATTAGCCTTTTGAGTGCTGCACTCTTACTGACCAGGTGGCTAGCTGCAAACTGACTAGCTAGTTGAATTTTGCCTCCACATTCATTTTCCCCAGCTGCTTATTATGATCAAGGCTGTGGAGGCAAACTCACACTGTGGGAGGAAATCAGAGCACCTGAAGGAAACCCATGTGAACACATGGAACATATAGAAATTCACCCACACGGACAAGAAGCAAACACGCTAACCACTACACCATCTTGCTGCTGGTATGCTTCCAGGTATCCATCAGTGCAAAACTAAATGTTCAGGGGGTTGATTTAAATTCAACTCCTTCTACTGCACGCCTGTTAGCTGCAGAGGGAGTCAGACCTGCTCCAGTGGCTCCCACATCACCTTATCATCTAGCATTTTCATGCTTTCTCCACCTAGACTCAATATGATGAAAACTGCTTTTATAGGCTACTTGTTTCTATCTAACCTGGGACATTGTTTAGCTGTATATTTAACTGGTAAACATAGAATTCACACTTACTTTAATCACCTTAAAATCTGTAACAGAGTTAAAGCATATAAACAACTCATAGTGAGAGCTAGCCAGGCTATAAAGCACAGCCTCCACATGACAGGGTTAGTTTTAAAATGGTGTTACAGCGAAGCTGCCCAAAGTAAACAATGAGAGCATTCCATATACATATCCCTGTATAGATATAAAACATGCAATTTTAAAATCTTTTGTCGTTATAATATATAAAAATACTAAGCAGCTAACAGATTAATAATGATATATTGTATTGATGTACAATGGGCTAAGAAGAACACTAGGGTAGCTGCGCCTAGTATAAAGGATTAGTATTGCATATTGTTTAATTAATTAGATAAACAAATATACAGTGTAGATGTATACTATGCTAAGAAGTACACATGGCTAATGGATTAATAAAGGTTTAGTGTACATCATTATATGATCAGAGCTAGAAAGGGGCCAGAACACACTGGAACGCTGATTCAGGAGTAAAAGTTGGCATGGAACAGTGTCTGTGCTCAGAATGTGAACATGTACTGAATTGTTTATCAAAATGAAAACCACACATGGTTGTTTTACACTGTTTCTAAAGTGTGTGCATAAAACAAAGTACTGTGTTACAGTCCATTAAGCCAATGGAAAGTTGTAGTGCATGATCTATCCACCCAGTTCTTATGGTAGTGCACTCTGCAGCAGGCTGTCAGAATGCAATGTTAAGTTACAAAGAAAGCATGCAATCAATAATAAGAGTGCCTGTTCACTTTATTTTCTCAAACCTTGATGCTGTCATTTGGTTTATCTTGTCCATTCAATTGTCATTAATGTTCTTAATATTCCATATATAAGCAACTGTGAGCTAAAGAGATGACATCTTCACATGAACAAGGTCATTCAGTATTTCTGTTGCAATAGTGTTTTGAAACGCGTTTCATATTTTGCCTTGCTCCTTGTAATTTGCCTTGGTGAAAAGCTTGTTTGGATTCCTACATTAGTAATATTAGTTTCAATTAAAGTTTCTATAACCTTTAGGAAATGTTTATATAGTTTTGTTTTTTGTAAATACCTTGTCTATAGCTCCGATGAACCAATACAGTAAGTTTATTTTTGTTTAATATTCAACAAGCCAGTTTTTCTTCCTTTTTCCTAACAAACTTTCCTGCTTTCCAAAGAAAGTGCATAATTTCTATTTAAGAAAAATAAATAGGTTTACAGACTGGGATTCAAGTTGCTGTTTAGTAACTCCTGATGTTCACTTAAACAAAGCTTTATGGATGATAAGGTGTTTAATGAAAATGCCCAACAATTAAAAGTACTGTTGTTGGCAACATGTAGATTTTGAGTGCTTTTATTTTTCAGCTTTAAAAAAAAGAGAAAGTGTTGGAGGGAGAGGTATGAGGAGAACTGGGGGATGACAGTAAGGCCTAAGGACTGAAAGTAATACGCAGGTGAACAGAATAATAGGAGACTGTGTTTTAGAAGCAGAATATGAAGTATCATCAAGTCTGTGTTTAAAGGGATAGTTCAGCAAAAAAAATCAAATCTTCATTATTTAAATGAATTTGACCACAATTTCAGCGCAAATGAGCCACATATGTTGGAAACTGAATATACACATGAAGCAATGTGTCAGGGGGATGCTGGACCCACTGGCATGACAGTAAGTGAGCACAACAAAGACGGAGAAAACATAAACCGAGATTATCTGGGATTCAATTGTTTGAGGCGTCGTAATTCTGTAAGAACGTACTCAGTACAGCTGTAGTTTTTTCCAATATAAAATGTAAAGTTTGCATCTGCAAGAAAAGCTGCAGTAACATACCAGACATGAACTTCTAACTATCTTACATCAAGCAAGCTTTTGGCATTATTGTACTAATGCTATGTATCTGTGTAGTGACATTTTACAATACGATTGGTTATAAAAAGAGCTTCCCAGAGAAGCTGAGTCTTTCAGATGTAAAGACAGGGGTTCACCACTCTGTGAAAGACCGCGTGGGCAAATAGTACAACAATTCAAGAATAACGTTTCTCAACACAAAATAGTAAAGAACCTGGAAATTTCACCATCTAGGTTAAAGAATATCATTAAAAGATTCAGAGAATCCAGAGAAATCTCTGTATGCAAGGGACAAGGCTAAAAACCAGTACTGGCTGGCCGTGATCTTCGGACCCTCAGGCGTTACTGCATTAAAACAGACAATAGTGGAAATCACTGCATGGGCTCAGGAACACTTCCAAAAACCACTGTCTGTGATTACAGTTCATCACTGCATTCACAAATGCAAGTTAAAACTCTACCATGCAAAGAAGAAACCATATATAAACAGGATTCAGAAACACTGCCGCCTTTTCTGGGCCTGAGCTCATTTAAGATGGACTGAGATGAAGTGGAATAGTGCCCTGTGGTCCAATGAATCAAAATTTACATTCTTTTTGGAAATCATGGAAGCTGAGTCCTAGCTGAGCTGCTAAAGAGGAGAGGAACCAGCTGGCTTGTTATCAGCGCAGAGCTCAAAAGCCAGCATCCGTGATAGTATGAGGGTGCATTAATGCACATGGCACGAGTGACTTGCACTTCTGTTACGGCACCATTAACGCTGAATGATATATACATGTTTTGTAGCAGCTTATGTTGTCACCCAGATGACGTCTTTTTCAGGGAAGACCGTACTTATTTCAGCAAGACAATGCCAAACTGCATTCTGCACATATTACAACAGCATGGCTCTGTAGTAAAAGAACCCGGGTGTTAAGCTGGCCTGCCTGCAGTCCAGACCTATCACTCATTGAAAACATTTGGTGCATTATGAATCTAAAAATACAAAAAAAAATAATGCCCTGAAAATGTTAAGGAGCTGAAATCCTATATCAAGCAAGAATAGGAAAACATTTCACTTTCAAAACTACAGCAGCTCCAGTTCTAAACTAAAGTAGCAAACCACCAAACATATATTGGCTGATTGGCTGCATTTGGGGTAAATGGAAAATCATGTAAATTAGATTTTTTTTTCACCAAACTATTCCTTTAATAAAATCAAGGGTTTTTCATGGTAGAAAAAAGGACCCCTGATGTAAAGCATTGCCAAGAACAAACTTCAGCTGTTGAATCTCCTAATTCTTTTAATGTAGGAAATGCACTAGATTTGAACATTTATTGGTGCATTTTATTTTTTAAGGAATATTTCAGCATGAAAAGGCACCAGAAACAGGAATTAGTAGCTATTCCGGCCACTTCCACCACTGCTTATAGTACACATTCAAAAAAGATGGTTCTTCAAAGCTTCTTTAGTAAAGGCAATGGCTCTATTTAGAACCAAATATAGTTCTTCTATTGTTACAAGCTTGACATCGTAACAATAGCCGAACCCATTTTGGTGCTATTTAGAACCATTTTCAAAAAGGTTCTACTTAGAAATATATACAACACATCTGAAGAACTATTTCACCATGCAAAGAACCATTTAAGCATGAAATGGTTCTATATAGAACTACTGCCTTTCCTAAAGAACCTTTGAAGAATCATCTTTTTAAGTGTTTACTCTAATAAGTACACTAGTACTATTAATAAATTATGATATAGCGTAGACCATATTAGGGTAGTGGAGCGATATATAGCCTGGATGTGTTCTATGCTAAGAGGAATATTAAGCTAATGTATTAATGATATTATCGTGAGGAATACTGGGCTGAGAGATATACTTCGCTAATGGATTAATAATGACGTAGTGTAGGTGTATACTAAGCTAAGTAGTACACTCTGTAGCCCAATATCCTCAATTTGTGTATAATTATATTGATTACGAAAGACGTTGTAGCCAGTAGCTTTTTTCATCTTGGAAATTTCGTTCACCTTCTTTGGGCCTGACATCCTCTCCTCCTGTTACTGCCCTCTGCGGTGCCGTTTCATTTGACCGACCACTGTTTAAGCCAGTGTCCCCATATGTAGCTCTCCTCAGCGCAGTGCTGTGCTCGAGGCTCCGCCCCTCACGTAGCTACTGCGAGCTGTTGGCCGTCAGTGATGGGGAGGACGTCATCTGTCCGTTAACATGTAGCTAACCGAAACGCCACATTAGCTTCCACATTTCGTCGGATTTGGCTTTCCCTGACCTACACTGCACAGAGGCGGCAGCGGGTGTCAAATATGTATGAAAAACCTCACGGTCATATCCGCTATTTGTTGAGGGTGCAGTCCGAGCTGACCGTGTGAAATCCACCGCATTAGCTAGCCTGGTAGCTAGCTGGGCTAACTAACAGCTAGCACAGCTGCGCTAGCCGTAACCGAGCGTGTCCACCATAACCAGCAAAATAATTCGATGGTTAGGGAGTGGGCTTGCCGTAGGAAAATCAAGTGGTCATCTGCCTGGTACGCGGCGTCTTGTGGAAGGATAACTGCATCCTGAGAAATGTAAGTTGCTCCTCAGTCTTCCGGCAAGCCGACAAGCTTAGCTAGCGCTAGCTAATGGGTTAGCTGTGTTTTGTAACACCTGACACTGTGGCTGCGACTAACCAGCCAGCTAACCTAGCGCCCTAGTTAAACTGGCTAACGAGCAACTAGTGACTCGCTACATATCCTAACGCTGCTTGGCTGTTTCATCATTCCCTCGAAATAACCACGCTATTCTCACTCGTCTCCAGTTCTAGACAGCGTTTTAAATTGGAGAGACTAGTTTGTTTATCACAGAGATGAACCCTAGGAAACGTGAGCTAGCTATCTCGAAGCCAGCAAGTGATGTTACTTCTACTTTTCGCCTGTCTGTTCTTTGTTACCCTATATCGGTGGTTGAACTTGACTAAAACCTGAATCACGTAGGTTTGCTAGCTCAAGGGTTTACAGCAAAATCTTGGTCTGTAAGTTCTCGCCATTAGTTACTGTTGTGTTGTGTTGTTCCCAATAATGAAAATTATTAAAAAAAGGAAAAGGAAAAAAAATATTCATCGTAGGTGTGTCTGGCACGGATTAGTGGCATATACTGTGAAACTCAGTATATCAAATGTCTTATTATTTAAGGATGTAATAGAATTAACGTAGGTTCTGTCTCTGGTTTATATGCTGTTCTTGCTAGCAGGTTGTTGGGTGTCATTAGTGCTTTACAGGTACTATTCTTTCATGATTATTTGGGCATTTATGAAAACAATTGAATGTACAAGGTACAGAAGTACTTGAAAGTGTAGAAAAGCTTCTCTGGCACTGCTTTATAGCAGCAAATCCAACATAGTTTACATTTGTAGACTAAAGTACTCCTATTGGACACTTTTATTCAGTGGGTAGATTTAATATTTTAAAAAGAATGACTGTCACATATTCATAATTTGTTGATTTTATTTCATGTATGAACAGGTTATATGGCAGGGATAAGTGTTTTTTTATCCAAGTATGTTAAACCACATTTCTGTTTGCTTGGTATAGACATATTCACCCTAACAGGTTAGAACAAACTGATGGTTTTGCTTGTGATTGGTGCTCTTTTTTCCCTCCCTTTCTAACTTGTTTTTAAGAGGATGCTACACTCTCATTACCCTAGAAAACAAAGGTATTATACTAACCTACTAGGCTTAGCGTTGTCCAAGCAGAGTGAGCCATCAAAATGAGAATGGAATAAATGACAGTGCCTACAGAGACTAATTAATGGGACGTAGCGTTATCTTTTGCTCTAGCTAAACATTCAGCCATTTAACATTTCAGATTTAAAACCGTATGAATAAAGTTGTATCCCTGGGTCCTGCTAAGAATGTTTTATTGGATTTCTTCTCTTATTATTACACCAAATGGAGTCTTACTTAGTGTATTTCTGTTTGCAAAATGGAAACTGCTATATTATGCCATCATAGATATAATGTTTATCAATCAATATCACAATTTAACAGTGTATCAGCATTTTATTGTAACTTTAAATGCGTCATTAAAGATGGGGTCGTTGGTTTCAAGCCAGACTCTTTTTTTTTTTTCCACAAACCTTGATTCCAAAAATAGTTGGGACAGTATGTGAATTGGTAATAAAAAAAGAAAGCAGTGGTTGGAAAGTTCTGGCTGACCTGTGTTACATTGAAAACATATTTTATTTATGAACTTATGAATCTATGAACTTCTTTTGTAAATATATGCTTATTTCAAATTTGAGGCTTGTCATTCCAAAAACGTTGGGATAGGTGATTCTTTACCATTGTATTACATCACCTTTCCTCTTAACAACACTTAATAATTGTTTGCGGTCTGGAGACACCGATTGATCCATTCCTTTACACAAGTCGACAGGTGCAACCATCGCAACCATGTGGCGCCTTCGTTGTCTTGTTTTGCGCTTCATAATGTGCCACACGCTTTCAATGGAAGACAGGTCTGGACTGCAGGCAGGCCAGTCTAGCACCCACACTCTTGGATTATGCAGCCATGCTGTTGTAACTTGGGCAGAATGTGGCTTGGAATTGTCGTGCTGAAATAACCGTGGATGACAAATCTGTTTTCTGGGAGGCAGCGTATTTTGCCCCAAAATGTGTATATATTTTCCAGCATTAATGGTTCCTTCATAGATGTGCAAGTTACCCATGCCATGGGCATGAATATACCCCCATACCATGAGACAGTGGCTTTTGTACATTACACTGGTAAAGGTCTGGATGGTCCTTTTCTTTGGCCTGGAGAGCACAATGTCCATTTTTTTCCGTAAACAATCTGAAAGGTTGACTCTTCAGACCACAGTACATGTTTCTGTTGTGTATGAGTCCCTTTCAGATGAGTTTGAGCCCAAAGAAGTTGGCAGCATTTTTGGATGTTGTTGACATACAATATCAGCTGTATGTAGAAAAGCATGCATTTGTGGATACAGCAGTGAACAGTATTTACTGACAATAATTTGTTAAAGTAATCCCATCCCCATCCGTCCAAGAAGCATGCCAGTTTTAAATGCAGTCCTGTCTTGGAGGTTGACAGTCACTGTTACAGAGATTTTTCCAGATTACGGGAATCTTTTGATGATACTCTGCACTGTAAAGGGTGAAATCCTTGCAATTTCACATTGAGGAATGTTGTTGTTAACCTTTTTGGATCGTTCTTTGGCGCTAGCAAGGAAGTTGACAAAGTAAAAGATTTAAATGTCTAGTATGTTTTTTTTCTGGTATTCTAGCTTGTCAGTGTTCATTTAATTGTGTTTATAACCCTATACAAATACATATTACAAATATCGAAATATCTCTGTAATACTAATCCAGGTAGATCTAGTTCCAATATTCAAATTTTATTAATATTTATGTATTGACGTAAGTATCAGCAGGTATGGACTTGAAAATATTGGCCCCTGATTCCTGTTTCATTGCATCCCAAGAAAATAATGTGCTGTAAAACCTGTGTAACCTGCCTGTAACCTTCATCTGTCCTGTGTTGAGACTGACATTTGTAGTTAAAGGCATACCAGTTTTCACACACTGTGTCAGAAAAGCAATTAAACTGTTTAATTTAGGATAGCTTTTACAGATTGCTTTGGATTTTAATATGTTAATTGCATTCATATTTTTTCTTTGCTCTTTCATTTGTTTTAATTAATGGAAAGCTCAACAGAATGATATTGCTTAAAAGCTGGATCTGATGATCTCTGCCTCATTCATCTCCCTCCAAACGGACGTATTGGCACAGAGAGAGCCGATGCTGGTTCTTAGAATAACCAAAGATGAATTTGCTAAATCAGAGTTATTAAGATGTAAAAGCCTGGTGTGTGAAATATTTTGTAATTGCAAAGAGTTTCACTATTCTTTAAAGTCTGACAGGCATGTTGTGACATAATTCCCATTATATTATGTGATATAGCCTAGATTTAATAACTGTAACCATAGTAATTTTGAATATTTGTACTGGCATGGCACCCACAGTTGTATTTGTCCAGTTTAAGTTGAAAGAATAAACAGCTGTATCTATAAAGCTGAGACCCTCGTATGTTTAACTGGCCAGCTGATTCTACTTTTGCTCTCAAATGATGTTCGATTTAGGCTAAATTCTATCATAGCTGCCAGTTGATGCTGTTCCAGCTTTGTGTGTGAGTGAGAGACTGGATTTGGTCAGTCTTAGGAAAACTGCACAACCAGTGGCATTGTGGCCATGACAAGGCATAGTTGACCTACAAGGCAGAAAAGCCTTTTGGGTGTAGAATATCTACACAGAATTCCTGTTAGGCTAGTCTAAAATGGTCAGACTACTTTTTTGTCTGTTTTGTATTCAGTATTTTTTTTTTTTGTAGCTCACCCCATTCTTTAGACTACAGTGACTGCAGGTGATATGATTAATGTAACGTACTGTGCCTGGCCTGCTTGTGGGTAGTGTTCTTTTGATGTGATACACGTTTAATGAAATTTGGTATAAATTAAATTTTATGGCCTTTTTGAAGGTATTTCAGCCTGTCACTTGAGGCAACTAGACTTTTAGCAACACTTCAGTGGAACGTGTTGCACACTGTAGTCATAATATTTGTAACATAATATTTAGTTGTATGCCTTGTATTGTAGCTGTGTGAAAAGTAAGATAAGTAAGACAAATTGGAGGTGAATCTAGAGCCTCTTAAATTGGTGTTCTTTTCTCTTTAAACTGCATGTCAGTTTCCTGGCCTAATGTTCGGTGGTTGATTAAGGCTGTGTACTGTTAGACTCTAATTCTTTCATCATGTAAGATATGTTGTGATAGATCTTATCATGATAATATTCAATAAATGTTATGATTTTAGCTTTAGGGTATATCAGCACAGGTGGCTCATACGTGATGTATAAATGGAGAAAAACTTGATAGCATGTATTGTTATGGGTGGCATATCTGAATAGTGCTTATATTTAATATTTGTATTTTTGGAAGATACTCTAATTTAAAGCATACCTAAAGCTGAAATGACAGAGGAATGCTGTTTTCTATTTGATATAAGCTTTATAACTGTTCATTGTTTCAATAACTGCCTGTCATGCTTGTTCGGTTAGTCTAGGTCTTTAAACAGTAAATGGTCTCATTGCTAATCGTGTAATTATTTGGGCTGTGTGTGGTTTTTCAGTGAGTTCTGTTTTGTGTCCAGAGTAGCGAGTAAACTGTTTAATGCAGCACACTCTAGGCTGTCTGTATTCATGAGATTAAATGAGGAGGCTGAATTGATTTGTCTTTATAGTTTCTTATGTGTGTTATTTGTTGTTATATAGTGATGTGGTTTGGTAAAGAAGAAATGGTCACTTCATAGTGTTATTGTTCCACAATCCCTTGATGTGCAAAAAAACCTCTGGTCAGATGCTAATCAAACACTGCATGTATCTGCTGAGTGGATTAGTAAATTGAGTTAGCTTGTTAACTGCTGTATCTGGAAACCCTCTGAACCCTGTGATGCTTTTCCGTTCTGTCTCTTTGTCTTTCTCTATCTGATTAATGATGGATAGAGGACATTTTTA